ATTGATCAAGTCAAACTCACACACAAGGTACATCATGTCACAAATATGTATGTGCATTTGTTTCATGATCTCATTAACGATAGCCAAATGGGGCCGCTTTAAGGTTGAAAATGCATTGAAATCGCACATTTTCACCATTCCGGACCCGTATCTCAGTTATGCATGGATGGATTTTGTTCAAATTTGGTACATACATTAAACATAATAGGACCTTGATGCACGTCTTTTTTTTTCGGATCAAGTTCGAAATGGCCGACTGGCGGCCATTTTGTTAAAGAATTCAGTTCTGGATCCGTATCCAAGACATGTCTGGATTGATCAAGTTCAAACTTCACACACACATGGTACATCATGTCACAAATAGATATGTGCATTTGTTTCATGATCTGCTTAACAATAGCGGAATGATGGCCATTTTAAGGCCGAAAATGCATCAAAATCACATATTTTCACAATTCCAGAACCGGATCTCAGTCATGCATGGATGGATTTTGTTCAGATTTAGCACAATGTGTTGTACATATGCAGGTGCATTTCGGTCATGATCTGCTTTGAATGTATATGTCACTCAAATATGAACGGGACGGGGACGTGTCATTGACAATGACTTGTTATTAAATAATAGATTTTTGGGGCTTTAAAAGTAATAATTTAATACATAATTAGAATGTGTCTTGCTCCTGAATATGGTTAGTTTTGAACTGCCAATGTAAAACTTATCTGTATTTCTACGTTTTTATTCAAAATCATAGTTTTAGTTTTTTTAATACTTACAGTTAACTTCCAATTTTCACAATAGTTCTTTGAAATTCAAAAGAGAACTTTGTAATCCTGATTTAGTTTTCAATAAGAGTACAGTATTTGTACATACATGTACAACATAAACATGGAATTGGTTCTTTTTCCAACAATGGATACTCAGTTAAATCAGTCATTAGCCCATTTGGTGAATCAGACTGGGATTAGAATTATGAGAGGGGCTGACCTAGGGATGTCTTACTGTATTGGCTCTCTTAGTAATATGTATGCTTATTAAATAGACCATTTTCCGTTCACTGCGAGAATCACGCGTTATGCGTGAAATCGAACGTAAAAACAGGACAAACAAAGGTCATAGCGTCGTAGTCGCGTCAAACATCGCGTGGGATTCGACAAACGCGAAAGTATTTCGGGGACATTTCCATGCTTAATAATGTGCTGTCCACATTTGATGATAGGCAATTTTGATTAAGTAAGGGTATTCGGAAGCAATATTCCTCTGTCGAAGATCGGCCGGTCAATGTAAGCTGCAAAATAAAGAAATTCTATTTCAAAATCAAATCCTTCGATTTTTGTGGCAGACGTTCGACGCGCGTCTTTCATGCATCTCGCGAGATCTCGCAATTGTTCGGAAAATCACCTATTGTGTGGGTACTTTATGGTTAAAATAAGTAGATTCAAGATACAAAAAATGTAATTTTTGGTTTACATGTATATGTGCTTCTATTGGAGATGCAATCCTAATGGAGTAAATACGATTCACTAAAAAGAGTCCAACTAAGAAAAATATCTGTTTGTCGTTTCCGCGCGCATCATTTTGAACTATGCGCCTCGGATATTTTTTCCATTCTAAAAGTAAAACATTCCAAATTGCGCTTGTACTCTCACTTGTCTCAAATTTCCCCCATTTTAGCTCAGTATTCAAAAAAAAAACTTTCCATGAAGCAAGAAACAGAGATTTTTTTTTTCCTGGCCTTAGTTATATAAATTAACCTTTAACCACCAAATTTGACCTGATCACCTATCAAGTAAGCTATAATATGGAAAATTATTTGCAAAACATTTCAAATTTCAGCCTCAGGAAAATGCTTTCAAAATTCCGTCTGAGTGACCACAACTTAGAAATAGAATTAGGTAGAAGAACAAAGCCCAAAATAGAATTAGAAAATAGACACTGTAAT